GGCCATTCAAGATACGCATACTAGGGCACAGATAATAAACAGACATATCTGCTTTGTTGGGGTGAATAATCATGATTATGAAGAGGAACCAAGGTTACTGCCACACAAGGTATCAAGAAGGAAGGTAGATGGAAACTGTGGGTTTCAGGGGGTCCTAGCACTGTTGTGTACAAAGGTAGAAGTCAATGGATCAGTTCCAGAGCCCTACAGAGACAAGACTGCCAAGGCCTCAGATCCTTAAGAATCCAGATTTAGGGGGCTGGAGATTTAGCTCAGCGGCATAACGACCTGCCTTGCAAGCAGACAGTCGTGAGTTCAATCCCTGGTACCAATAAAAACGAAAACGACAAAAAAAAAAAAAAAAAAGAATCCAGATTTGGGCCACATCACTGAATAAGGAACCCACTCACTAAAGCTCTTTCTGAAGGAGCACGGATTGGGTAGTAAAAGAGGAAAGTATCAGGAAAATTTTAAAAAATGTGCATCTATGGAATGGTAGGTGTCCAGCACAGACTTCTGAATTATCTTGATTCTATGGGTGCCTTGTTTTTCACTGTCCTTGTGCTACGTTACAACCTTATAAGTTTTAGAAAACTGACTGAAATGAAAATGGTTTTGTCCATAGAGCTGCAATGAGTTTATCTAGTGGAGGTATAATTGACACCCTGTTATGGCTTGTGTCTAGATGTTTCTCCACCTATGCACCAAAGTCTCCTGGAGTCATGGGTGGGCGGGCTTTTCAGAGGTAGCTGAATCTAGAGTTTGTGATTCATCCACGGTCCAATGCCGGGATTAAAGGTGTGAGTGCTACACCTGCCCTACGGTAGGTGGCCTGATACAACATAAAGGACTGAAAGAGGCTTGTTTGTTCTTTCGTTCTGTCTTTCTCTGTCTCTGTCTCTCTGTGTCTCATTACTTTTGCTATCTTCTGCTGCCATAATAAACTGTTTCTCCTCTGTGAGGCTCTCCTGGCAGGCACCTCTGCCTTAGACTCAGCCAATATGGACTGAAACCTCTACAAACTGCAAGCTAAATTAACCTTTCCCCCATAACTTTAGGTGTTAGGTATTTTGTCACAGCAACAAGTAACTAAAACACGTGGTCCATTTCACCAAGAAATCAATTAACAACTTAATTTCAACATTCTAGATTGTCTAAGGGTCTGTTGTTTGGAGTTTCCTTTGAACTATTCTTTTAACTTCTTACTGGTTTCCTTGTTCATTAATATGTTAAGTAAATCTTCAACATATTTTTTTACTTATGTAAGTTATGATTTACCCTGTCTCAAAATTAGCTCAACAAAAGATGTAAGTACTGTTATGAAGAGACTTTACCTTTTATCCATATTTTCTTCTTTTCTGTGGTATGTAAACTTAAGTATTTTCAGTAATTGTATCTTAATGTATTCTCTTTTCCCTTGATATAACAGGCTAGTGACAACAGTTTGCTTGACAATTCTTGTATAGAATGCTGAACACCGAGCCTGGAGTCTGTCACAACCAGAGATGCTGGACCTGGTGTGAGGCTCAGTAACCAAAGAAATCTGAATTTAACAAGTGAGTGAGTCCTATAGAATTCTTGTTTGGAAGTTTGTTTTTTAAAACCAAAATACAGGTAAAAGCTTCAAATGGCACATGTAGGTTTTAGGCAAGTTAACTGTGATTGTTGTTTTTTTTCTTTGAATAGTCAGCATGTAGAGCCTTCTAGATTGAGGGAACCTCCCAGCACTGAGGGTCTCAATAGGAGGCAAAACCTGTCACCTGGGTTTGGAAGAATCAGGTGCTCTTCTCCAGGATTTGAATATTCTGGGAAGATGTAGATGCAGCTAGTAGCCGCTGTCCCTAACAGCCTAACCAGATCCTTCCTGAGGCCTGAGTGTCGCTTTTACCCCATTCAGCCTTCTGGGGTCTTCTCCAATTTCTGAGTGTCTTTCTCCAGTCTTCTAACTAATTCTACAATTCCCTGTAACCTCCTTTCTGTTTAAGTTTTCATCTCAAAACCTTGACATGCACAACAACGCCAGACAGATACAAGAATCTTAAGACTAATATTAAGAGAGATGTTTTTTAAATTGGCGGTCTTGCTAAAAATATCATTTCATGGGTGTGGGGGTGGAGGCTAAGAAGCTGCCAGTGATGTTGCTGCTGGGCCAGTGACTACTCCCTAGGTACCGAGACCGAGATCACTAAAAACCCGCAGAGAAGCAGCTTGCAAGCAGAAATAAGATGAAGAAGGGTGTTAAATCCTGGATAAAGGACTTTGGCCTCAATCTTTAGGCCATTAAAGGATCCAGAGGAAATGAGATTAACTGATTTCTGTCCTTAAAAGATCTCTGGATGTTATATGGATAACACAGTAGGAAAGGCGGGACTGGCAGGGGCCAGTTAGATATAGTGATGATGGTTTCTAAGGACGATGATGGTTTCTAAGGACGTCCACGTCCTAATTCTCATATGGTACAAGTAAATGGAACTTTGCAAAGTTTATAAATTAAAGACCTTCATGTAGGGAGATCATCCTGGACCAACATAATCCCATGCATCCTTCAAAGGGAAGAATCTCTCCCAACTGGGTGAGAGCCAGAAGTGACAATGGAAATATGCTAGAGAGATGGAATTACACTGGCTTTGAAGAAAGAGGACAGGATATATACCCAGGAGTGCAGAAAATGGAATCTACTTCAGAGCCTCCACAGGAAACACATCCCCACCTGATGTTAGCCCAGGGAGACCCGGTGGGCTTCTGACCTGCACAGTTGTAAGACAATGCATTTGTGTTGTTTACATGCCACCGAGACCATGATAAATTATTACAATGACAGTAAGAAACCAAGCCAGATGTGGTGGTAATCCCAGCACTCTGGCAGGCTGTAGTAGGAGGATTGCTAGTTGAAACCTAGCCTGGATAACCCAGCAACTTAATGAGACTCTCCAAAAATTTTTTAAGAATTTTAAAAAGGACTGGAGATGCACCCAGCACAAAGGCCACTGTGCAAACAAAACAAAACAAAACAAGACTGACACCATAGTGGAAGGAGCACATTTCAGAGAGTAGCAACACAGCAGGAAGAGACCTGAGGTGAAAGATCATGAAGGGATAGAGGTGAAGAGATACAGTCACCAACCCAGTGTGTGGAGCTGGGTGGTGAGAGAGGAAATTCAAAGGAAAGTCTTAGATTTCTCTCTTGGACAAATGGGGCTACAGGTCAAAAAGACTGAAAGAAAAACAAAAAACAAAACAAAACAAGACCAAGCAGGAGTGTGTGAGTGTGTAAGACAGTGTGTGTGACAACATGTAAGTGTGAACACATGTGAGTGCATGACCGTGACAGTGTGAAAGTGCTGTGGCACTGTGTGTGATCATGTGTGACAGGAGTGTGAGTACAGACAGAATACCCCCGCTGTTACTCAGCTCCTTCCTTCCCATTCCATTTTCACCCAGAAACCTGCTAATCTCAACTCTGCAGCTTCCCCCAGGAGAGCCAGCAAGTGGCTCCCCAGCCAGCGCTAACAGCTGCCCTGCTCGTCAGCGACAGGCTGGCTCTCAATTAACCAACTGCCACCCAGTCATGAACCAGGCCCCTGTGAGTCTAGGCAGCACAAATAATTCTCCAGGGTTTGATCCCGAGCTAAGAGAATTTTCAGCCTCTGCAAAGTGAAGGGTCAGCCCTCGCCCTGTGCTGGAGGCAGAAGGGCTTGCCTGAGGCAGGGCCGGAAGAAGTGGCCTAAGGCACTACCCTGGGCCAAGTCAATGGAGACCCAGGAGGTTCTGCATTGCAACTTTCAGCTATTTATAGTGCACACAGATGCTCATGCAGGGGCAGGGTTTCTAGGGCAGAAATCACCCCTTCTGGCCCCTGCTGAGAAGCACAAAAAAGAATGAAGCTGAATCACCTAGTTCTAGGAAGCTCAGGAGGAAGAGGCAGGTGGTTTGCAGGTGTCTGGTGCTGCCATCAAGGCTGCTTAGGAAGTCTAAGACAATGAAGACTTTCAGAGCCCGCTCTGAGTGTGTCTGTGTGTATTACTGGAAACTGAACGCAGGGCCTCTGCACAAAGCTACAACTTCAGCTTTTTTAAGTCTTATTTTGAGACAGGGTCTTAGTAAGTCATTAAGCTGCCCAGGGTGGATTTGAACTTGGGATCCTCCTACCACAGCTCTCTGATTGCTGGGGATTACAGGCAGGAGCCATCATGCACCACTTGAATCACTTCTTTACCTACCTCAGACTTGCTTTCTGCATAAGACAGATGGGTTGTTGCTACTGTTCAGATGAAGACACTAAGGCTCTTGGAGGTTCCAATGTCAGAGCCGCAGCTTGACCTCAATCCCTTTATGCCAAAATCTACCTCGTTTGCCCTTTTTCCTGGGTGAGTGTCCTGCATGGGGGAGGGCGCCCTTCTCATTCCTCACTACAGCATGGCTTTGTCAACCGCAGGTGGCTTATGGACCTCCTGCTGAAGGTGGCCAGCACATCCAAGGATGGTGCTGGGGGCTGCTGTCACCCATGGTAGCCAGGGAGCTCTCCCAGGCCCTTCCCTGTGCTCAGCCCCCTGTAAGGAGCTGCAGAAGAACAGCCCCTGCTCTCAAAGCTTCAGCAGCAACAGGGCTGGAACCATAAAGAACTGGAATCACAGAGTAAGTAGGGTCAGGACCAAACCCAGGTCTGCTGGACTCTAGGACCTGTGAACCCACCCACGAGCCCAGGCTGCTCCAGGGACAACGCTTTCAGGTTGGCAGAGTGTTCTACACACATGGCATGTGGCAGGGCGGGACCCCCAATCCCAGATGCCATTTCCTCTCGCTGTAGCCCTCAGTGCTTTTCTCACTTCAGCATTCAAGATCTAGACAGAGGATGGATGTAGACAGGACTGGACTCCCGGAAAGCCTCATGGGAAGAAGTCTGCCAGCTACCAGTGTCCTCACCAAGGAGGGCACCCCCCTTGTGGGGCTGGCTCCTCCCCCCATCTGTCACCCCCTCCAAGATAAACAGCTCTACTTACATATTCTTTAATGTCCTTCGACTTCACAGCCTTGTAAGAGTAATACGCAGGGTAAAGGGTGCCAAATATAAGCCTAGAGGAGAGACAGGAAAAAGGAGAAATGTGATTTTCATTCATCCTGTTTGGTGGAAAATGTCTGCCTCTGACGCCAGGAGCGGTTCTCCAAGCCGCAGAAAACGCTGCTGTGGGAACGATTCATCTTTATGAACACTCTGAATGTTTCCTGCTCATGCCTGGGTTGTCCTTGGCAACCCCCATTTCCCGATACCGCCCCACTTCTTTCCAACAGTGCCTGGTGTCACGGATACCAAAACTGAGGTGAAAGGGGCAGCCTAGCCCAGCCCAGCTGAGCAGCAGAGACCCCGAAGTCAAAGGTCAACTTTCCCTCCAGCTGCTGGTCCTCCACCAAGCCTGCCCACTCAGATGCAACTTCAGCATCCTGCGAGCAGAACAAACTCCTCAAATTGTAAATCTGGGCAAGCTAACACCCTCTCCCATCAACACATCCATACCCTGCTCCTCTCTGCGTCAAACACAGAAGCCAGAGTATCAGCTTAGTGACCTTCCTCAGTGCTACACAGGGCCAGTAAACACCTGGACTCTCAGACCTGCCTCTAGGGACATGGCATGACATAGCTCTGCCTGCCCTCTTCCTCTCCATCTTGTCCCCTTTTGGAATCTCCTGTCCCTGTTTTTTGTTTAGTTAGCGCTTGTTTGGCCATCAGCTCCCACTCCCAGAATGACTCCTTCACTTTAGAAGCCTTCCCTGACCTCCCAGACAAGGCAAACCTCCCCACTACTCTTTCAAAGCACAGGGTGCATTTTATCATGGGTTCTTGTAACAGGCTGTAAGTGCAGAGAATGGATCTTCTTTGCTCAATCGGTCTTCCCAGTCACCCATCATGTAGTAGCCATCAACAGGCATTTTTAAATGAATGGACAGAATGCTGTGCCCAGAAGGGCTTAATTCCTTTGCTTGACTGATGAGGTTACTGAGTTGACCAGCTGACCAGTTCACTGCAGGAGCCACCCTGGTCTAGGCCTCACAGGAGCCTGCACCCCTGAGACAAGCCACAGAGTGCCTCTGGGGTCCCAGCAAGGAGTCTGCCTGCCTGGTTAGAAAAAGACATCACACCAAAGATGCCCAAAGTCAGGGCTGTTAGAAGTCAAACAGAGAACTCTCTTTACACATGCAATTTTATCAAGAGCTGGAAAACACCTTTACCATGAGCACTGTTGCCAGGAACACCAGGTTTGCATTGCTGGGACAAAATACCTCACACCCACCACTTAAAGGAGGAATGCTTTATTTTGGCTAATGGTTTTGGAGGTTTCAGTCCATGGTGAGCAGGCTCCAGGGCAGAAACATCATGGCAGAGGGCACAGTCAAGGAACTCTGTTCACTTCATGGCAGCCAGGAAGCAGAAGAAGGGAAGAGTCAGAGAGGAAGGGCAGAGAGGAAGCAGATACAGTCCCCCAAAATCATGCTCTCTTGACCCCCTGAATATGCCCAGAAGTATGTTCTTCTAATCTCCTATGTGTCTCTTAAGCCAATCAAGTTGACAGTCAAATTAACCAAGAAAACAAAATTAACTGAACCGAGTCAGTTTTGACATGGGAGAAAGAAATATGCAAACTCCTGGTTCACATAAGCCTGACTTAAGCACCTTCTAGGCCTCACCCCAGTCAGACTGCCTCGACAGAGGGAGTCCCTTATACAGATGGGACCGTCGTGCTCAGAGCTACCTACTTGTCTAACTCATGACCATGAAGAAGTAAAGCAGGTGCCACATCGGCCTTCCCCAAGCCTGGCTTCCTTTCCCCATCGCCCACTGCCTTAGAGAGTAAGCCTGTTCTCTAGGAAGGCAGAGGTGATCACGATAAGCCAGCACAGGGGACAAGGGCAGGCTGAAAGGAAAGGGGAAAAGTAGGATGGGGGTGGGAGGGAGGAAATTTAAGCAAGCGAGGTAGACAGCAGTGCCAAGGCAGCAGGCAGGCTGGGGAGCACGGGCTAAGGATGTTCTGTGGGTTCAGGTGCCAGCACTGTGGTGAGGGTCGTCTCCTGGGCATTCCAGCCTGCCTCTCGGCCCGCCCAGACCTGAGCATCCTTGAATCAGGGAGACTTCCTTCCAGGCTGAGGCCCCTCCTGACTTTTGCTCTGCCTTGGATTAGGCTTCTCTCCCTGTTTCCTGCCAGCCCAGGGCCCTGCATCTTCCGTTTCGACTGATGGTCTTGGCTCTGCCTCTCGCACAACACAGCAAGTTCCACAGCGCAGGGCTGGCATCTGTCTCATTCGTAGGAAGTGCTCAGTAAGTGCGAGTTTGCTGCATAAAGCAGCGGGGTGTGGAGACATTAAGTCAGCGCCATCCCGGGAACACTCGTGACTTTGGGACCGAAGTCGTGGCTGTGGTGGTTGCCAGACAGCACCAGGCTGAATCTGCCAAGCCTCAGAAACAAAGTTGTCAGCTCCAGGGAAATAAACACGCTACTCCTTGGGCACAGACACCCTGGTTATTAACCGAGTCTGCAGACTGGTTTTCAGCCTCCACCTGGAGGCAGCCTGCAAGCAGCTGAAGAGGAATCTGGCAGCCAACTGATTGGTCCCCTGTGAACCCTAATAGGCCAGGACATTCCCTGATGTCACACAGCTGGTGAACATCAGGGCATCCAGACAGGGAAGCTTGGGCTCAATCTGCTGGACTCTTCTGAAGCGAACTGGTTGCTAGTGTCCCCGCCACCTGGCACCTATTTAAAAACAGGCTCAGCTGGTCAGCACATACCTATAATCCAGCACTCTGGGAGGCTGAGGCAGGCAGATGGCAAGTTCAAGCCCATCCAGGGCAATTTAGCAATTTAGACTCTACCTCAAAATAAGCAAATAAAAAAATAAAAAGGGTAGGGGATGTAGCCCAGTGCAAAAGCTGAGTTCAATCCGCAAGACAACAAAACAAAAACCAAACCAAACTACACAGGGTCCTACTATAAACAAATCTGCATTTCAGTCTCCAATTCATGTCAGTCTCTTGTAAGACGGGAGTCTCTAATAAACTCAGTAACACTTAGCATCCACTTCCCTGGAGAAGAGATTAGGATTAAAAGGATTAGTTTTTATTTATGTACCTCAGAGAAAAGAAATAACGAATGAAGCAGGCCCTGGCCGGAGGGGCTTAGTAGTAGGCCAGCTCAGACCAAAAGCCCCTCACAGGGCCCTTCTTTGCTGCCCCACCTGCCTGCCTCCCCTGCTCCTCACACCGGCTCACAGGGCCAGTGACTGCCCCGCGTGAGCCAGCCTGCTAGTGACCTATGACTGCTAGTGACCTATGGCTGCTCTTTCTGCTGCTGGACTCTGGCAGGTGATCTCTCCCTAGGCTGACAACCTTCCTCACTAATCCTTTAAGACCCATCTGAAAAAAGCCACTTCAATGAAATCTCTGATCACTTCTTCCTTAGACGTCTCTGGCTGTTCTTTAAGTCTGTCATACCCTTTATGCAGAAGCAGCAGTGATGCCAGGTCCAGTGGCTGCAATCCCAGCACCAGGAGGCTGAGGCAGGGTGATCACTTAAGAGTTTGAGGCCAGCCTCGGCTACATAGTGAGCTAAGGCCAGCCTGAATTACAAAGTTAGACCCTGTCCCCCCCCCCATAAAGAGGAGTAATAAAACCTTTAAAAATGCTATTATTAGTGTTTTACAGGCTAATACACTTTGTACTAATCCTCTTCCATCATCTTAATACCCTGTTTACAGCCTGGGACACCAAGGCTTAGTGGCATCATTCACTTGCTCAAAAGACACCCCAGCTGGAGCCTGAGTGTGGATCTGCCCGGCCACCTGAAGTTCTCAGTCCTCCAAGGGTTTCCTGCCCACTCGCCCTGCGGCTGTCTCCCCATGGAGACCACAGAGTGTTGGTTACTTAGTGGGCACCTGTGCCCCGGTCAGTCCCTGCTCAGCGCAGTGGTTGGCAAACGTATGTTCAGTAATTAATCAAAAAATTGCGATTTCTTTTTGAAGAGCTTAACCCACCTGCTAGACTCACACAAGCCTCTCCAGAGCAGAGTGGGGAAGTGGTAACATAGTTAGGAGGGCAACAAGGTCAGTGAACACTGCAGGGCAGAGGGAGGCCGAGTGCTGCCTCCCAGCTCAGCCTCCCAGGGCACTGTGCACCCCCATATCCTTATATGTTCTCGGAACCCCTCCCCCCAAACTCTTATCAGCCTGCCCCGTGCCTCGTGTTTTTGTCCTTCACTCTTCTTGATTAGGGGGTCTTCATCCAGCCACCCTACCCAACCTCTTTCCCTGCTGTGGCACCCAGAAGGGATCACCAGGCTCACATGAATACCATGCTTCAGTGTGGTGGCTCCCAATGACACATCTGGGCAGTGTCTAGATGCTCTGGTGTCACAACTGAGAGGGTGCTATGGGCATCTGTGGGTAGTGGCCAGGGACACTGCTAAACAGCCTCACAACAAAGAATGATCCCACCCCTAAAGTTAACAACGTCGCTCTGGAGAAATGCTGGTCCTTGGGCCAGGGCATGTCTCTGGACAGTTTGCCTTAAGAGTTTAACAAAGACACAATGTCCCAGAAAATACAGCAAATGCTCACACTGAGGAAGACAGTCTAAAATGTCAGGCCAGGATCAGGAAAACATTCTGAAGCAAGTGCCTGGAGCTCTGACCGAGAGAAGAGAGAGACCGCTTGCTAAGCACACGCCTTGCCAAGGAGGGCTGCAGGCAGTGAGCGCTGGGCAAGGGCTCAGCTACAAGCTCTGGCGCTGCAGCTGCTAACTGTGGCCAAGGCTTCAGCAAACCACAAAACAAACCAGCACTTTCCAAGTCTTCTCAGGCACCCGAGAGTGAAATCAACACTTCCCAGGTCCAAATTATGTTGAAATTTAAAAGAAAAAAATCAAGGCTAGCAGTATTTTTTAAATGTCCGTGGAAATAACAAGCCTAATTTACACAGTGTTTTATATCCTTATATGACAAACTACACTGAAAGAACAGTGCTCTCTGGGAGGGTTCTGGGATGTTCAACTTCTTGACCTGGGCAGAGTCTTCCCAGGCATGTGCTGC